AAATATTATTTTTGTCTACCTGTCATACTATTTATTTATAGGTTACAGTTTATAAAACAATCCCTTCCTTCGGGTCGCTCCCTTAGACATATTTACTTTTGCAGTAACCGCCCAATAAAACAATCCCTCCCTTAGACATATTTACTTTTGCAGTAACCGCCCAATAAAACAATCCCTCCCTTAGACATATTTACTTTTGCAGTAACCGCCCAATAAAACAATCCCTCCCTTAGACATATTTACTTTTGCAGTAACCGCCCAATACAACAATCCCTCCCTTAGACATATTTACTTTTGCAGTAACCGCCCAATTTTGACATAAGTAACACGTTTCAAATCCAAGTAGTCCATCCCCAGGCTGCGCTACTCCCAGCGCCAAAAACAGCTCCACTGGTGGAGGATCAACCAAGATGAGTTGCAACCTTTGAAGAACTACGTCACAAAATCAGCCTTTTCTGCTGTTCTTAGACAGGTGAGGGAAGATTTATTTTGAGGACCATATTTGGATTTCCGAATTAACAATGGGTTCAAATTATTTAATTTTTAAAAGTATTTCTTTATTAAAAATTATACAGCGAACATAATTATATCTGAGGCAGGGTGTTGAATTAATTTTCCTACACAATTAATCACACAATATTAACATAGCGAATCTGAATACTAAGCTTTGGAGTAGGACTACTGGCTTTTAAAATACGTCTATAATGAGGTATACAAATTGATAACTAAAATTAGCTTTGTCTTCTAGATTTTATGTTTAGAAGTAATTAAATTCATTAGAAAGATGACCTGTCATTTGGTTGACTTATTACGAGAATTCACCTTCACTAAAGTGATCAGCATTTTGTATTAAAAAATGCTCAGAGTTAAATCTTAGTTTGACACAGTATGAGATATAATAGGGGATTTTTTAAAAAAAAATAATAGATATCAAATAGCAAAAAGTTAATATGATAAACGTAGCTGTGTGGGTTGAAACAAAACACTTCTAAGTAAATATACCATCACCGCGTCACTGACTCGCTAATGACCGAATTCATCTGCCTCCCCAGAGTACCACAGACACAAAGGATCTGAGTGCGGACAGCGCCACGCTCTGTATGTACAAGGTAGGGCAACAGCATTGACACCACATCCGTCAAAGGGATTGAGTGTGTGTGTGTGGGGGGGGGGGGGTTTCCACTGGGGTTGTTGCCTAATAACCCTGCTAATTTCAGCATCATGGTCCGTGCCTTCTGGCCATGGAAAATCAATATCCCAAATTGTTTAACATGTAATGTCAAGAAATGACATATAGAAAGACTTAGGGTTTCAATAGGTTTATCTGTTTTAAAGATTGAATTTTAAATGACTAAAGCTGAAAGCATTCATAATAATTTTTTCATGGAAATACATGTTTTGTTTGCATAATTTGTAATGCAAGTAAAAATTTAACTAGTTTTATATTATATTATTTTCTGTATCTAAAAAGTAAGGTTAGCCTCATTTTGTAATTAGTGGGCCATCGACTATTGTGTTGTGGCTACGACCAAAAAAGGTGGGGGGGGGGGCTGGGGAGAGTTGTGGTGTGGAGAATGGTCAAATAAAAATATTTAGTCAGCTCTTGAAAATAAATTACCTTATGGCAATTCTTTACTACGTCTCATTTTTTTAACAACCAAAAATGTATAAACAATAAAACGAGCCACAATTTAAAAAAAAACACACAAAAAATAACAAATAGAACAAACATTTACAACAAATCCTGGAATGAAAACAACATACAAACAACAACAAACAAGAAATGTTGTAAGTTTGATCGTGTAGACAGATTATGTAGCCCACCCCACACCACCACCACCACGGGGTGCCGTATTTACGCTGCACAACTTCATCTGTCAACAGTTCCACCAGTCCCCCTGTGTAAAACTTTTGTTGTCCAGCCGGCACCGCCACAAAGAAAAAATGTGTTTAAACCCCGTATCGCCGTTGTTGCGTCCACACGGGTTGACCTGAGTGATCAGGCCGATCCATCAAATTACACTCGAGGCTGAAACGAGTCTTTAGTGGACCGAATTGTCGATCAAAAATGTTTTTAAGTGATGATGAGTGGAGATGCACGGGGACCAGTGCACTTTTGGATCGTTCTAAACTACCCACTGGCAACAACAAATCAACCAACAATGGAATTGAGAATCAAATGTAGCCCGTGAACACGTCCACCTTTGCCAGGACTAATGTGTCCAGTTTATATGGACATAGGGTGCTGGGGGGGGGGGCCGAGTGTTCTAAACGGGGCAAATCTGGAGTTCAATCCCCATCAAAGCCCAGTCAAGCAGAAACGTCACCAGCACCCCGGGTGGATGGGACTCGCCAACCTTGGATGGCAGCTCATCTAAGAGAAGGGAACTCTGAATTCAAAACCCGGAGACGGAGTCCCGTAGGCGGTTAACAATGAAACATTCCGACAACTCCCGCGACGCCACTGGGGCCAAGCTGTATCCTCCACACATGATATTCCCTTGGGTTATCCAGCGGCGTGGAGAGAGACGATTTTGCTGTGCAGGGAACCAGCTTATAATCCTAAAAAGAATAATCCCTGGCCTTGTAGATTTCGTCCAGCGAATTTTACATCATCGCGACATTGTCACGGACGTATGCTAGGAAAACAAAATATACATAACAATGTGTACTTTTATTTTATTTTTGTATTTGAACTTGTTAAATTTCAACGTTATATTTGAAATAAACAACATAAGGCTAAATCTTACACGTTATGATCATCTTAACAATTAAGCGTTGCCTTTATATCTTTTCGAGCGTTGGTTAAACTACCAAGCGCCGAATACTTCCTGCAATGCCGTGAAGCTTTGCAGAAAACGTAAGAGTAGCGTAACTAAGACCCGCCGTCTTTAAATGGTGTTTAGCTTGCTGATTCCCCAGGGTAACGTTGTGCGGCGTCACAGTCTCAAGCAGGCGGAGTTTCCTGTGACCAATCGTGTGCTCAAAGAGTTCCAGGAGGTAAGAATCGTTGAGTACTCTTTGAAAAAATCGTCTTTTAACAAAATTAAATCCTTTATATTTACTTCGCTTTTGTGTGGTTAGGACAAACATCTGCGGACGGCTAATTGACCCACTTCCTGCCAACCTATCGAGCCGAAACCTGGCACATAGACTCTCGTTGCCTACGACAACATATTCTATCCAATTTTCATATAAATAAATCTATAAATTATTATTAATATTAAGTTAGCAACTAACATTTTTTTTTTAAATCATAAAATGTCTCCGTTATTTGTTAGATTAAATGCAGATTGGAGAACAACTAAATTTAGGTATGCATCCAAATTGAACCTTCGTACCAGTGAGCCCCTCCTCAGCCACCTGCTCCCTCTTTGACACAGTATCCTTCTGCGCCCTTGATATCCTGCCACTCTACACCCCCACATCCACCCGTTCCTGTGCTTTTAATGGCATATACCTGAGACAGCACTATTTCCAGATCCATTTTTTCCAGAAAGCATTATCTATTTTAATTTTTTCGGAAGGATTGGGGCGGGGGGGGGGGGTTAAACTCAAATTTAGCCCCACGGCTGACACAATACCTCTCTATGCTACCACTAATTATTTACATGTCATGCTCAGATTCGTGACATCAGTCATTCTAACTTACTGCGTGTGGTGGGGGCCTGGCTCGAGGGAGACAAGAAAGTCATCGTCACGGAACATTGTCCCAAAGGATCTCTTCAGGTAAACGGATCGCCTATTCTCACCTGTTTGTAGGTATGCCCTCTTCCTCACACAATTTGTACCGACCAGAACATACGTGACATAATGCAATCTTACGTGACCTAACATCTCCTCAACCCACCTTACCTTTTTACTCGTCTCAACTTCATCCACCCGAACCGTCTTACCTGATTCCGTCTTTACTACCGCCAAACACGTTCACAAAACAAGTCCACACGCGCATGGGCGCCCGCAGAAAACTTTCTAGTGGGGGGGGGGGCAAAAAATTGTTAGTTATGTTTTAATGTAGTTTTAATTTACTGTAGCGTATTTGTATGGTGAACGAACGGCCAGGACATCAGCTTAGTTACTTTCTCTTTA